AAGGAGGTGGGGACAGATTCTTATGATTCAATAGTGAGTAATTGTTACCATGACTAATTATGATTGTAACAACTGTAAAGGTAGAAGTTTTGTAACAGAAAGGGGGGAGTAATTAATCTTACAGTTCAGGAACAGAGGACCCTAGGACCATTAAGGGAGCAGAGCATGAGTGAAATATGGACCCTGTCCAGAGAAGCAGTGACACCAGAGATGGAGGCAGAGATGAGGTCATGGAGAGAAAGAGTAGCTGAGGACTCTAGACTCAGGGAAAGAGAAAGGCAGTATGCTGGCGGCCAGGAGGCAGGCTTGCAGAATGTGCTCTTTAGTTGTTTAAATGATTATATATTCCTGAGAGTTTCTGTGTACATCCCTCGCCCCCACCAACAAAAACCCAACAACAACAACAACGACAAGAAAAACAGGGAATAGAAGCACAGAGGGGACTGTAACCATTGCAATGAAATGATTAATGTAAAACTGATGTTCTCCCATGTAAACTATCATTCAATTCACAATAAAAACTTAAAAAAAAAAAAAGCAAACACCATGAACTGCTAGAATAACAAATAAATCTGTGTTGCAAGAAGTGCAACCAGAATTCTCCTTAGAAGCCAGATGGGCAGACTTTATCTTTCATTCTTTGAACAGATTATCACCAGGAACCAGTCCTTGAAGAAGAACAACATGCTTGGTAAAATGGAGGGTCAGTGAAAAAGAGGGAGATCCTCAGTGGCAGCATCTATGGACTCAAGCATAATAGTAATAGTGAGGATAGCGCAGGACTGGGTGCTATGTTGTTCTGTTGTGCATAGGATTGTTATCTGTCGGAACTGACTCTATGGCATCTAGCAACAACAGTAGCATTATTTTCTGGGGGACACAGTTCAATCTATAATAGGAGCCTTAATCTGAAGTTACTTATTGTAGCATTTCTGGGTGAGAAATGCACATCTGAAAAGGTAATGTTTTTACCTACTTAAAATCAGTATTTGAAAAATTTGGGGCAGTGTGACAGGGTTACAAATGAACATCAGTGAGTTGTGAGAGATTTTTAGTTAGTCATGAGACAGGTGGGTGTTACTACTTGAATGTCCATTAAGTAAGCTAGCGTCCATAGACTCTTCATTTTTTGTTGTTGTTTTTGACATTATAATGGATTTTCAGACAGCAATCATGGGAGAAAACTTAATACTACCTTTAACATTATCTTAAAAGTACTATGTTAAAGCATTGGATATCTGTGAAAATTGTTGACTGTTTATAGCGTATATATACTCTCTTTATTTTAGATCAATTTTTTTTTTCTTAAATTGAATTTCCATGCTGGTACTACTGCATTCCAAGACACAGGCTATCATTTTGTCACCAATATGAGAGGTTTGTTTCAAAGGAATTTAGTCAGTATTTATTAGATGTTCCTATGGACAAAGCACAGAGATGAATGAGGACAAGTAATGTACAGCCCCTGCCCTGTAGAAGCATGGGGTCAAGGAAGGGGATGAGAGGATGGCTCAACACCTCCATCAAGTGACACATGAGTGGCATCAAGAAGGTACAAATGTAGTTATGGAGGGAGAGTCATGCTTTGTTAAGAGCTTGGAAAGGTTTTGTCAAACAAGTGTCATTTGAGTTGGCTTGTGATAGATGTGTAGGATTTGTACATTTATTTGGGATAATAGAAGCAGCATGACAAATGTGGAAGTTGGCCTAACACAGAATTTCTTGTCAAGTCTGATTGAATAATGTTACATTTGTAGGGGCCATGTTTACTATACAAAGGGTCTTAATGCCGGGATTAATTAATTTGGGAAATTGTGATTAGCTATCAAAGATGTCATATATGACACATACCATATGTCCCATCTGCTGGCGGTTTGTAATTGGATTCTAGTGAGAGAAACAGAAAGCTGTAATTAAGCAGCCTTTTGTTGCCTTTTATGTTTATGAACTTGTGGTAACTGTTTATTTTTTTTGGACAAAAAAATCCATTTAAATTTAATTAAATATCGTATGTATCCATTTATTATGTATCTCTTTTTATTGAGCATTTGTCATCTTTTCATGTGGCAGGCATATGACAAACTAATACCTCCCGTCAGGTATTTGGGGAGACATACTTTGGAAAAGGCTTTACAGAAGAGGCAATTCTTAATTTTTTCACTAACCATTTTCAGGATAAGGAAGAATTCTTTGGGTAATCAACTGGTCATGGAAGTTCCAGTAATAAGAAGTAGAATGTGAGCTGTTCACACTGAATAGCGTTGCTTGTGAAAGCATGCCACAGACAGGATCTCTATGCTATGAGGATTGACATCTTGTGTATGAGGTTAAAGGGACAGTTGAGGTTAGAGACGCAGATCCCGATTGTAGAGCAGTCTCTGAAGACTGCCCAAGGAGCTTGGCCTTTCATCTTGAAGGCAATGAAAAGTTATGGAATTGTTTTAAATAACCACGGGAGAAATAATCAGATTGTATTTTAGGGGGGAATTAAATGGAAAAAAGAAAAAGGGGTACTTTGTGGTTTAAAATAAGAAAGATGTATTTCAGGATTGTATCATTACAGTATACTTAATCAATCTGTTTGGTGAGCAAATAATCAAAGAATCTGGACTATATGAAGCAGGTCACAGCATCAGGAATGGAGGAAGACTCATGAGCTACTTGTTATATGCAGATGATGAAACCTTGGTGCTGAAATTGAAGAGGATTTGAAGCATTATTGTTGAAGATCAGAGACTACAGCCTTCGATATGGGCTATACCTCAGCATGAAAAAAACAAAAATCCTTGCAACTGGATAAGCAACATCATGATAAATGGAAAGAAGACGGAAGCTGTCAAGGATTTCACTGTACTTGGGTCCACAATCATTGTCTATGGAAGCAGAAGTTAACAAGTCAAATGTGTTGCATTGAGTAGATCTACTGCGTAAGACCTCTTTAAAATGTTAAAGACTAAGATGTCACTGTAAGAACTGAGGTGCACCTGACCCAAACCATGACATTTTCAGGAGTCTCATATGCCTGTGAAAGCTGGACAAAGAAGACCGAAGAAGAATTGATGCCCTTGAATTATGGTGTTACGGAAGAAGGAACAAATGTGTTTTAGAGGAAGAATACCAGAATGGCAAAACTTCATCTCATATGCTTTGGACATGTCATCCCTGGGGAAGAACATCATGCTCGGTAAAGTAAAGGGTCAGCAAAAAGGAGGAGGAGCCTCAATGAGATGGATTGACACAGTGGCTGCATCGATGAACTCAAATCTTGCAATGATGGTGAGGATGTTACAGGAATGGGCAGTTTTTTTTTGTTTTGTTTTTTTTTTTTCTGTTATGCAGTCATTGACTTTGAGTTGGAACTGATTTGATGGCGCTGTGGGTTAATGCTCTGGACTGTAAAGTTTGTTTGAACTGCAGGATCGGTGGTTCAAGTTCACCAGCAGCTCCTCGGAAACCCTACACAAGGGTCGCTATGGGTAAGAACCGACTCAATGGAACTTAACAACAACAACAACAATGGCTTCTGTCGTGGAAGTAAAGGAATGTGCTTGAGAAAGAAAATCCTCCAAAGGTAGCTGAGAGACGGCAGCAATATGAGGACAATTTAATGTGTTTCCCAAAGAATACCCGGCTTCATAGTTTCTTTAATTTATTTCTTAAATGCCAGTCCCCTAGGGATAGTCTAGGTTCCTTGTACTTTGTTGTTGTTGTTGTTAAGTGCTGTTGAGTTGGTTCCAACTCATAGTGACCCTGTATAGGGTTTCCAACACTTTCAGCCACTGACCTTGTGGCTAGCAATCTAATGCTAATCCTACAGCACCATACTGGGTTGTCTTGTGATTTAGATATATTGTGATTTAGATAAATAACTTGTGTTCTATTTATTTTAATAGAGGAAATACTTTTCAGGCAGCATCTGCTTGGTGCATTTTGTTCTTTTTTAGTTGACTGAGTGCTCTAGACCTTAACCTATGATTAAGAAGGGAAGAATGACTCATTACCCATTCCTGTCTGTCAGAAACAACAATGGCTTAACTGGTGTTTACCCCTTTGCAGTCTATACAAGGACTGGATATGCTGGAATAAAAGGCAAAGAACTAGAAAGATATTAATATGAGAGATGTGTCTTTTATTGTGTATGGTTTTTTGTGTGTGTATAACTGTTTGAGGTTTACTTGGTAAAGTTTATTTTCCTTACTGTTCTTATTAATATGCCTGTACCTACAACTTATATAGACTTGAGGGAGACCTCTTAATGCAGGATTGGTGGCCCTGCTGTCTGAAAGAGTCCCTCTCTTCTAATAGAACAGTTAGAACTGTTGAAATGTGATAAGGAAGTTGATGGCTATAAAACTTGGATTGTTATTTGTCAGTTTGCTCAATACAGTGCATCTAACTGGTGGGAAGGATAAGCTTTTTTGTGTATTCCCAGAGAGCAAAGATATTTGCAATCAAACTTTAGTTTGAAATAGGAGCTGGTGATCAATCAGCACGTTCTTAGGAGCAGAGTTGATTTCTAGTAGAATGCTTCATTCAATGATATTAAGAACACAGTTTTTCAGTTGTTTTTTTTTCATTTGACTGATATTTCAATCTGGATCCAAACTCAAATAAGCTCTCATCACAATGCCTTTTGCCTCTTACCTGTCTCATTTTCATTTCAGATATTGTCAGATGCAACACAGCCTCTAGAAAGCCAGAATTTTTCTCCTGTAGTTCGAGACGTAAGTTATGACAACTTCCCTTTTATGAATGGGATTTTTTTCACCATCATCCTCATTCTTACCTCTTCCTTCTCCTTTGTGTCTGCTTCTCTCTCTCTCTCCCTCTCTCTCTCTCTCTCTCTCTCTCTCTCTCTGTCTCTTTCTCTCTCTCTCTCTCTACATATATATATATACATCTGTCATTCTGTCTCTTCTCTATCAGTTCCTGAGTCCATGTTTGTTGGATTAAACTGTGCATACTAAAGAAATGTCTTGTGTTTATGGACATTTAGGCTGTGATATCATCCAACGGCACATTGCCTGAAAAGTATAAATATATCCAGAAACTCCGGGAGAGCAGGTAAGTCTTGTTCAAATCTTCTCATTGTATGCATTTATTCTTATCTTAGATTTGAAAAATATTTGTTTAGTGGGAGTGGGCCTCATCATTTCTTTATACTAGGTTTATGCCATATGGACATTTTGATAATGTGGGACTAACTTCTGTAACATAGATAAAACCAACTAAGTGACTGGTTGCAACCAATGGGCATTCTTGCTCCCTGAACAGTACTATATGTGTGTTATGGATGGAAGGGAGGCAGGAGAATTTTCTACTTATATTTATTTTTATTCATTTGTAATGAATGAAATGTGTCATGGCCTCAAGATTCTGACAACAGAGCCTGGTTACGGTCCAAATTGCACATTGGTAAGATAACTGGGATATGGTTCAAAAGATAGTTAACAAGGGCTACCCATATCCAAGATAAAATGTACTAAGCACCGAAGGCCTTACACTTAGTCTGTGTCTCAGAGGTTGTAGTTTATTAGAAAGACAGAGCATTATCACAGACTAACTGGCCAAGAATCAAAATCCTGCCTCTTACTAGTCTCAAGTTTTCTAGGTATAATTGATGGAGTTTATGATTTCTGAGTTATGGTTTCAACTCATCTTAAGTGACTTTGGATATAAATGACCCAATAGCTTCCAATGTGGTTAATAATAATCTCCTCAGATAGTTGTGAAGAATAATTAGGGTTTCAGATGTAAATCTCCAGCATGATTTTGAACCATGGTCCTGAAAGGGTAAAGTATGAGAACAACTTAGTCAATTATGAACGAGCCAAGCAATGGCCGAACTTCTAGAGCACACTAGTGGTATTGAGAATTCATGAAGGTCTGTACATACAGTTCAGAGATTTCCAATCTATTGTTCTTACTCATACAAATGCAAAAATAATTAAGGAGGAATGTTGGCTTAGGGAACATCTGTTGAGGTTCTTGAGCCATGTTGAAAAAATAGTTACTTCAATGTCTAGGTTTTAGGGCAGCAAGATTTTATTATTAGAAAAAGTATTTTTTTAATTATTTCTCTTCCACTTCTTTTTTAAATAGGCAACGTGCGCAGTTACTTTCAATGGCCACCAAAAAAAAGGTGTTGATTCTTGGGTCTGGCTATGTATCAGAGCCTGTGGTGGAGTACCTGCTAAGAGATGGCAATATAGAAATAACCATAGGTAAATAAGCCCTTCTTTTGGAAGAAGAAGAAGAAGAAAGCAATACCAAACCAAAATAAACCAAACAAAAAAACCCAACAAATTTTGTAGTTTATGAATTTCAGATAATCAGTTGGTTCCTAAATTTGCAAAACTATATTTGGAGATGTTAAGATGTGTTTTACTGACTAGGGGATGCACTGTAGGATAAGCAGTTGATCACAAGGTCTGTTTGAACCTCAAAGTCTGCAGTTCAGGCTCACCAGCCGCTCTTCAGAAACTATACAGGGTCGTATGGGTCAAAATCGACTCAATGACACTTAACAACAACAACAGGTGATGATGGTAAAAAAATTGACTTTAAAAATTTTTGAAATAGGCTCTGACATGAAGAATCAAATTGAACAATTGGAGAAGAAATATAATATTACTCCTGTTTGTCTCGACATTGGTAAGCAGCAAGAGATGTTAGCTTCCTTGGTGGCAACACAGGATCTTGTCATCAGGTAGGTATCTGGCAAGAAATAAGTCTCATGCTTTTTTTGTTAATATCCCCCCATTCCCTTCCCCTTCTCCTTTCCTCTTCTTTCTCTGAAAGTAAACTTTTAGTTGAAGTATGCGTGCAGAAACGTACATCACTAGTGTATAGCTTGAGGAATTTTCATACAGTGACTACATTGTAAGTAAACATTAAAAGCAAGAAGCAGGACAGTAATGTTACACCAGAAGCCCTCCTTGTGGTCCCTTCCAGTCAGTAATACCCCTTGCTGAAGGGCAAACACCATTCTGGCTCCTAACACATAGGTTAGTTTTCACTTGTGTGCAAATGTCGTGTAATTGAAACCATTCTGTATGCCCTGGATTGTGTCTGTCTTTCTTTGTTGTGATTATGAGAATCTCTCCATTAATTGTTAATATAGTTTATATATCCTTGTTGCTATATACATTCCATTATTTGAATGTACAACAATATATTAATTTGACCATTCTTAAGATATTTTGGGCTATTTTGAATGAGCTGCTCTGAACATTTTAGTGTGTGTCTATTGATGAACATACACGTAGAAATTATATTCCTGTGGAGTGTATACCTAGATGTGGAATTGGTGGATTCTAACACGTGTGTCCTACATTATAGTAGCAATTTTGCCCTTTTGGACTGATAAAGCTTGAGTGGAAGTAACCAGAATTATCTAGCCTTAAGGCCACACAGGTTTTATCATAAGGATAGATCTTGAAATATTGTTTATTACTATATAATAATTATTCATATCCAACCTCTAGATATAGAGCAGCTTATGGTTCACCCTATAATTAAACTTGGTTTTGAGATATCAAAGGGATGAGAATAGTCATTTATTCTTAGAATATTTTTTATCCAAAATGGGAAGAAGCAAGGTTCCTGTTCATCATGCCTGTCTAGTCATTTTCATAATAAAACACATTCAAATTGTGTCTTTGGGAAGTTCTAACAGGCTTAGGAAAACAGATATAATGAAAAATAAAATTAAAAACTAAACCTACTGCCACAGTACTGATTCTGACTAATAGCAATCCTATATCGGTTTCACGAGACTGTCAGCCTTTATGGGAGCAGACAGCCTCATCTTTCTCCTGCGGAGCAGCTGGTGGGTTTGAACTGCCGATCTTTCACTTAGCAGTCCAATGTATAACCCATAGCACCACAATGACATGTAGAAATTTCATTTAACTCTTGGTATCTTTAACTATAGGCTTATCTTGGGCATTTAAGATGTTATTAAATTTATACAAATTTGAAGCGCATTAAGCTTAATTCAGCAAAAATTTAATAATGACCAATAGATCTTGTCTGGAGGGGATATAGCAGTAAGTCCTGAGTATGTCATAGTCAATGTCCCAGTCTCCTAATGAGGAAAAAATTCATTAAAAAAAAAAATTAATGAAACAAAAGGAAAATAACATCATACAGCATATTTGGAAGAAATGAAAAGATGCTGGACAAGACAATATATTGTCTATTAAAGTATGCAAATGTTAATGTTTGGCAAACTGCTGGCCTTTAATAAGATTTAGCAGTTTGTCTCAGTTGATTCCGTTTCTATGCAGAACAGTGCTCATGCCAGTAAACATTGTTTTAGTATGACCTTCCTTATATACTTTATTTATTTATTT